CCCCCCCCCCCCCCCCCCCCACTTCCTCCTTGCTTTTGAGAAGCTGCATGGATTCTGCCTCAGGAAAAACACCAAGCAAATATTAGCTGTGAGAGCCCCCTGGCAGAATGGGGCCCCTGAGGCTGGAGGACTGAGGAGGGCATCTTGCCCTCCACAGCCGGCCTCCACCACTGAGGGTCCCTTTCTTGGTCTCCCTACATGTCTAGCTGGTGGATGTATCTTTGACTCTGAGGTGCCCACGAGCATTCATCAAGGGAAACACAGGCATGCTCGAAAGCGCTTCTTCTGAGATGAAAGATCACTTTGCAAGATCCATTTATCCAAAGGACAAAGTCTGTGGAAGGCTATTCAATGGACATGGATATCTTCTTGGTGTGTGGGTGTATATACCTGTACGTGCATGTGTGTTTCTGCACAAACACACTTTACTCCCTCAAAAGGGAGATGTCCTCCCCACAAGGAAGAGCAAACGGAAAATCAAAATAGAACCCCAACCCTCCACAATGCCCAGCGTCCTACTCCAACTGAACCTGTCCAGGAGGTTTCTCTCCACCCAGTAAATGTCAGTCTAAAAATGTGCATGTCAGTCTACTTATGTATGTATACCTGTCAGAAAGCACCCCGCCCCCCCATGGAAGGGCTATAACAAGATTTTAAAAATTATTATTGCTGATCGAAACAAAGTAAAATAAGGCTTTGCTCCCCCTTCTCTTTCACACATTCATGCAAACCATCCTCACTCAGGAGAAGACATTTCCATTATGCCTTCCCTTTGTCCCACAGAAGAAAATAAGAGCAGTTTGATAGAGGAACCATCGTCTCAAACAAGTGCTGGGTTCCCCTTCATTGGCTGTGTTCAACCAGAGGCTGCCCAGCCACCCGTCCAAGATGCTTTCACCTGGATTAGGTTAAAGGCAAGGGAAGCAGAAGGGTCTGGTCCATGCTGCAGTGATGTCACAGGTGTCATGATGTCATCGTGCAAATGATGCAAATTAGGTAAGGCGGTTGCCCATCTGGAAGGAGCAGGCGTTAGCAGACTTCAAGCAAATTTTTAGAACGTTGTTTATTCCTTCTCGTACTTTGAGGGTGAAGATCAACTTTTTGGTGAAGAAAAGACATCTGAAGGAAGCCACAACATACTCCACAAGACACAGCAGCAAATTGAAATCTCCCAAGAAGGCATGCAGTAGCCCATTGCAGCCCCTCAAGTGACTTCTTTCTGAAGCCAATTAACATCCACAAAGCAGAACATCTAAGTAGAAAATTGCTAGCCCTGTTTCTCCACTGAGGAAAACAAAAAATAGGGCCCTTTTGGCAAGGATGTGGGAGGACCAGAAACGATGCCGCCTTCTTCCTGTTGGTCAGGACGTGCTTCCCTTGCGTGTCAGTCACAGCTACCGCTTCCATTGCTGGTAGTACGAAAGAAAAGAAAGAAAAGAAAGAAAGAAAGAAAGAAAGAAAGAAAGAAAGAAAGAAAGAAAGAAAGAAAGAAAGAAAGAAA